CACACACACACACACACACACACACACACACACACACACACACACACTGTCTCTGTCTCTCTCTCTCTCATGGAGCACTGACTGTGTGCTCTTACTGGTGCCACATGTATGAACAAGACACAGAGGTTGCTGCCCTCTGGCAGTTTAGACTACTGGGAGAATTTAACAGACAGCTGAGGTCTATACTCTTCCCCAGCACAAAGCAAGGCCACATGGGAGACTTGCACTGAATGAATAGCCCATGGGAAGTGTTTCCATTCATTTGGATGAATGGTCATTAATGTCACAAAGAGGGAAGAGACGATGGGATAGCTGTCTGAGACATGACATGGGACTCTGACAGCAGGCTGATGGCTTAGAGAAAGAGAAGGAGAGAGAGGAGCCTAGCAACTCTCTACATGCTGAATCTACCTAACACAGTGTCTATCCTAGATGTATGCAGTGACCCTTGTGATCGATCACCCTTCCTGAAAGGAAGAACTGTGGCTTTTAAAAAATGACAACAGGGGCATGTGGAGAACAGCAGTTACTATTCACATTTTTATTCACTTGGTGTAAAGATCTTTATAAGGAATCTGTAATATTAGATTTTATTTTTTCTTTTTTAAAATTATGCTTTTCAGATTATTTCAAGAATGAGCCCTATTGCAAATAGCAAGAGACTCTGAGTTCCTGTTGTCTATGGCAATCAGGCCTCACATCTGGCACTCACAAGGCCTTGCATGCTATAGGCAAGGACAGCTACAGAGCCTGGTGCAGGGCTGGCAAGTGGTCTGCAGAAAGATGCAGCTAAGGATCTCTACAAGAAGCCAGCCAGGTGACCAGGCTTGAGATCCGAGCATACCCACAGTTCCTGAATGGAGCCCCAGCCTCCTTCATAAGGGCATGGCTGTGACCTCTTCATTCTTGTGGTCTCAAAATTTCCCCTGGAGATAAAGCTTCTTTCTTTTTTTAAATTTTTTTCCCAAACGAGTTCTCCCTCAGCCCAGACCTGTATACATGTATGTTAGGCAGCCTGTTTTCAGCCTGCTGACAGATGGTGGCAGCTTACACTGTGTGCCACCCTTTTTATTCCTACACTTCCCAGTGAGCTAGCTCATGAACTCCCTCCCGCACCCAGGTCTTGACATCCAGTCTCCTGTGGCCCACACCCTCCTTCCTAGTACATGACACTCTGCTGTACAAATCTGGTGGAAGAACTGCTGTAGAATCGGATGAGTGCTCAGAGCACTCTAAGTTTTATGCACAAAACTTTACAGCAAGCTGTACAAAGTTTTTAGATGCCCTTCTGCCTGCACCCCCATGTGTCCTGGCTCAACACATCTGTTGCTTCCTTAGTACCCTCTGATTGTTGAGCCCTGACCCATGTGTAATCCTAGGATGCCGACTATTGCTCACCAAAGCTTGTGTACATGCCCACTAAAAGTGTACCATCTTATACGAAGCACCTGTTCCTACCTAATGGGTACCTCTGCTTCTTTGTTTCCTTCTTGTCAAGACAGATAGCCTTTCTCCAATGTCCACATGAAAACTACCAAACTTTCTACCTCAGTGCTGGCTCCCATAACACATTTACCTGACTTCCTTTCCTCTTTTGAGTTCCTAAATCCCTGACATTCTATGCCAGCCTTCTTTACAAACATACAAAGGAGAGCCTTTTTGAATTTCCCTTCTCAGCCAAGGCTGTCTGGCTTTACCATGGCTCAGGACCTGTGGGAGGCACAGCTGACATGTACTAGAATAGTTTCTAGCCTGGGAAAAGCAGTCTTCAAAGTACCTCTGAGGAAGGCCAATAGAAAGATGCCAGCCAGGGGCAGCTACCCACAGAGAAAGCAGCAAAGACCCACATGGAGGAGACTTGGGCGCAGCCAGCCAGCCAGGGTACAAGTCAGGCCTCTCTCGATGGAACACCTCATTAATTTCCAATCTGAAAACTGTACTCACATCAACACCCAGTCCATAACCAGGGCCAGTGGCAGAAGACAAGGGGCTTTTCATGGAAAAGGTAGGAAAAAAAAAAAAAAGGAAGAGGAGGAAACACTTGGACAAAATCCCTGAGGAGATTGTGTCCTCCTTCCTTTGCATAACCACAGGATTCAGGCTATACTGAATTCTACACAGGATTCCAGCACATACTGTGGGGTGCCAGTGTTCAGAATGTCAGCTTAAACACAGTCTCTCCATAGACTGAAGGCACATGGCTGAGAAATACATCATCTAAGGAGGTACCCACCTCCTGACCTACATCCTGATACCTACAAGACCTAAAACAGCCCAGTGCTGCTGGTCCCAGCCTCAGGCACATAGCCTTTGAGCATAATTTTGACACAGGGGACGAGGCATTGACAGTCAAGTTTACAGCTGGGCACTCAGGTGAGGAATACTCAAGAATAATGCTCACTCTTAGGTTCATACCTAAAGATTCAGACTAAAAAATCTAATGGATACACATACACACGCACACACACACACACACACACACACACACACACACACACTTGTTTATTTTTAGCTGAAGGTCATAACATAGATAATGAGAAATAAAATATACCGTAAATACATACTCATTTCTACAATTTATAGATACAAAGGCATGGAGAAACTTTTGGACATTCTGTCCTACTCCATGAAGATGGTTTTTTTGTTTTAATTTATTCTCTGAAAAAATAAACTCATTGAGACATCTTTGTGTCAAAAAACTACTAGTAGAGCTAATTTAAAATTTTAAATAACTAGACATGAGATGACTTTTGCACCTCTGGGCTTCTCATAGAGAACTTTTAGTTCAAAAAGCCCGGAAGGCAGAAAGAAACTCTTTCCTGACTGGAACAAAAGCAGGCTGTCTGCAGTGCTGGGAGTGTCTGGGGGCAGCAGACTGCTGCTGCTGCTTCTTAAAGCTAGGAAGGCAAGGCCAGCCTGGCCAACAAAGCTATCTCAGCCAACATGGTCATTCTGTCCATCCTGGCCAAAAGGACAGTCAAAGGTGTCAAGAACAAAGTGTCTGGAAATGACCTGGACAGAGAAGGTAGAAAGATGGGGACAGCAAAGGGCAGGACATTGCTTGATGGAAGGGAAGGGGACTCCTTATGGAATGACCTGTGACCAACTAGCTAAAAACTGTGGGGTGACTCCAGAGTGAGCAGGGGGCTGGGTTAGGGTCCTCCTTCACTAGGCCCTCTCTCAACTGAGGCCTGAGGTGACAGAATGAGACCCAGGTTTCTTCTTATAACAAGAAAAAGACAGCAGGGTAGAATGAAATTGTAGCAAGGCTGCCATCCCAGCAGCAGCGGCTCCATTCATCCCACAGGCTTGGTCTTGCTATGTCAAGACCACCAGTGACTGGGACAGGACCAGTGCCTTAGAAGCCTGGCAGCACAGGCTGGGTGGTTCCAAGTCTGCCAACCTGTTTGGCTTCTAAGTCAGCTTGTGTGCAGGGTAGAGTCTACATAGAGAAGAAGCTGGAAGTATATGTAAGAGAGGATGGCCCTGTCTGGCATAGGTGGGAGAAGAGATCCTTGGTCTCATGAAGGCTGCATGCCCCAGGGGGTGGGAATTTGAGGGTGGGGAGGTGGGAGTGGGGGGTAGGTAGGGGTACATCCTCAGAGAAGCAGAAGGAGGAGTGAGGGGATAGGGGGTTCTTGGGTGGGGAGGATGGGGTAAGGGGATAACATATGAAATGTAAATAAAATATCCAATAAAAAAAAAGAAAAAAGAGAGAAGAAGCTGGAATTAACTACACAATCTTAGCATTCTCTGGTTTGTCCTCCAGTCTCAAGAGAGATCATCAGGTCCTTTTTCATCCTGATCTGACCACAGCTGTGTGAGCTTCTAAACTCAAGACAAGGAAGCAGAGGAAACCAAATCTTTGCCACATACAGCAACTAGATCAGGGGTTCTCAACCTGTGGGTTGCAACCGCTTTAGGGGCTGCATATCAGACATCCTGCATATCAGATGTTAACACTGGGGCCATCTCAACATGAGGAACGGTATAAAAGGGCCACAGCATCAGGAAGGTTGAGAGCCGCTGGGCTAGAGGGAACTGAAACGAGCTGAGCCTGCAGGTTCTGCTGTGGCCAGGAGATAGGAATTGTGTTCCTGTGACAGTGCGCGAAGCAGCTGTAATCTTCAAAGTGTTTCCCTCTCCTGAAGATTGGCAGGAGGCATCTTTAAAGGCTCATCTTTGGGACTCATCTCTGTACAGGAAGGAAACTGGGGGAGGGGAGGGAGAAAGAAGGAGAATGTGGGGAGCAGTGGCTGTGAGGGGTGGGGGGGCAGGTTCTGGACCCAGGAAACATCACAGACACCTTCTGCCAGGTGAACCTAGTGCTTCCTTTGAACAGGTCCATTGTAGGCCAGCTCACAAAGCCCCTTGTTCTTGTAAAGACACTCAGCACCACGAGCTGTTCTGCTGTTTATTGAAACAATCACCTTATTTCATATCTTGAAAACGTTTCATTTTGAATTCTGCTTTTCATCCTCAAGCTTCAGAGCATCACCACTGAGTTCTGCTGCTCCTCTGATGTGACCTTAGGTAAGCCATCTAGCTGGCTGGTGTCTTCTGTGGGAAATGGGACTCGAGTGATATGGAACAGCAGCTCCTTCCTCCCTCCCTGCTGCAGAGGTCCCACAGACAGTTCTAAAATAAAACAGCTAGGCTCTGCCCCTGTAATGACTAAGGAGAGATTCTGGGAACAATTTCTGATTCTCAGAACTAGGCTTTGAAGCTATTGTCCTCCTGGAGCTGCTCAGGAAAGGTATTTAGTAGTGTGCCTGGGTATGAAACACAACACCCAGCACTGCTTTTAGTAGAAGCCTTAAGCTACATGGCATGGTGGGAACCTTGCTCCATAAGCATGCTTTGGACCACAGTGACCCAGGAAGAATACAAGAGTTGACTTTTCAAGCTTTTCAG